CTTTATATAAAAAGTACTCTGCAAAGTTCTTGTGGAACTTTGCAACGCCGCTGAATGGTGATGAGTCCTCAGCTGGTTCATCGTCGATTGACGATGATTAATGACTTGGCTGCTGGAACACACGTTCCATCTGCAAAATTCATTGACTGAATTCCTCTTTCAACCTCATTCCTGGTGCATCTGCTTTCTGATGTTAAACGAGGGTCTAAACATTCGATAATCTCTCTCTGGGGTACTTCATGCATACGGAATCTGGCCAATGCGCAGAGCCAATTCTCTGAGTATTAGGCTAAAACGTGCCTCATGGGGTGCAATTAATATTCACAAGCTCTATTTCAAACAAAGCTTGCCGCTGGGCAAAAATTTTACAAAATACGAGATCTCTTGGAATTCCTGTCTGCGGTTAACCCCCACCCTCTTCTGAATACTTCATGGAACCTACCACCCTCAAAGCTCTCCCGAGTTCCCATCACTTCTCCCACTTTTTCAAATAGCCTTCTCTTAACGAGACGGAAATAACGCAGAAAAGTTAACAATGAAAAATAATTTGTGGTGGGCAGGTGGGTCCGCTCCACGCAGCGACCAAATAAATCAGTCGACCTCTTCCAGTGTGATGGATCACCCAACGTAATGAATGGAGGACGGCTCACATTCGCTCGGCAAAATCCGATCTGTGAACACCTACACGTGTATATGGCAGCTTTTTGCACACTTGCAGTCCTCTTCCTCCATTCTCAAAAGTTTTCACCAAACTAAATCGGAAGGCGGTAGAAAATGGGCAGTATCGCTTCTTCCCTCTTATTAAGCCAGGAGCAAATTTAGAGAATATTATGTCCCAGGACTCTCCATATAATGGCTTCTCACCCGGCAACAAATCGCAAAAACTGCTAAATTGGTATAGCTCTAGCCCAGCTCACCCCTTCTCCCTCTCTCATTCATCAGTGAAGAAAACTGCATGGGATAGACTAGAATTTGTGAGAAGCTGGAAAAATCATTATAACGAATGTGATAGTAAGATTTATCTAGTGGCCCCTCTGCAACTCCCCTCATCTTCGATCGCGACACAGACAAGCGAGGGGCTTGACGCGATTTGTATTCTCTGTACCAACTGCGTGTAACTTTCACCGCTCTTCTCGTTGGTGCGTTGAATTACGCAGCGCCGCATCTATAATAAGAGTCTTCAATTCTCCCGAGCGTAATTGTACTAGGCAGGCCAAAAGGGACGCTAGAACCCTCAAGGGAGGTGTATCTTGGCAAGTCCAGTCTGAATTTTTTTCTTGCCCTTGAGACATCTCTGATGAACTCTTTTCCATTCCACGGACGTCAGCTATGCCGTCAGAAACGCTGAGGGGAGAGGGCAGGAAATCGAATCCTTATCTAGGCCATCGTTTGGTAGAGTAATGAAATTGAACGTGGTCTATACCGCAATGTAAGATTAATTTCGATCTCCCAATATTGAGCGAATATCTTGCTCACAAGAATTGTCAACAGCAGTAATGATCTAATCATGATAGTATAATAATTTGGTAAGCAAATAGAGCTTGATAGGTAGATAATAAGCATAAAGAGTCACTTTTATTCCGAAGCTCAAGACCGCGATTGCAGTAAGCTAACTCTTCAGAGATGAGTTGAGCGCGCTCCCAATATTGTTCAGCCAGAGACGCCTGAAATGAAAGCCAATGGCTGTATCACCTCTGCCCCTGTTGGTCATCGAGTTGCTCGAATGAGCGGCAGTAAGAACTGCATTCATACATTGCGGCAGCGTCCAGCAGCGATCGCCAGCGTCTACCAGCGTCCACACACGTCTCAAGGGAGGCTAGGGAAGTATTGGGGCCTCCAATCTATCCCTCCCCCCGAATGTCAACGTTCACCAGCGTGTCCAGGAGTACTGTATAATGACGCCCAATTCAGCTATCTCCTCCTTCTTCAGCTCTTTCGATGGCGCGTTGAATGACACTGACCGCATGTTCATCCCGCTACATAGGTCCCAAATCGTGCTGAGGGAGTAAAGTAGGGTCCAGAAAGACACGCAGTGAATTCGCTAGAAGTGTGGTAAGCGGATTCCGTATCAATGTGTTCTCTGAATCTTTTCGCTACTCTTTCGCGGTGGGATTTCCTTGAAAATGCTTCGAGAGTACGAAGACGGTTAACGTAATATACGAGGGCGAGGCGAACGTGATATAATTCTCCACTTTTGAAAAACACTTTAATCACCGGGCAATAAATGGTTTCCGATTACTACGTGCCAACTTCCACCGAGAGCATACACTAGATAATATCGAACGCAACAATGAAAAGAAATATAAAGGCAGTTCTTTTTGTCTTTGTTTTTCCACATTATCCTAAGACAAAGTGGGCGTGCCTTTTTGTGATGGAATTCCAATTCTACCTAAACCTGCCGTACACAGCCAACATCCCCCCTTCAATTAATCGCACGTCCCCCATCGTTTTTGAGCGACTTAAATCGTAGGCAAACGATCTCAGGGGAGCTTCTCTGCTAATGTTTTCGCATACACCTAGGGATAAACTTCCCAACTGAAGAATTGATTCTTGGTAGGCATCAAATCCTCATGCCAAAGTTAGGATAGTATTTTATTACGGAATAACAATGGCCTTATTGTTCGCGCATCTCTCACGTGCTACATCGGTTTAAAGGAATTACTATACGCACTCAGGATACTAAGTATCAGGACTGTCCAAATCACTTAGTGAACGAGGTTTTCATATATTGCAGCAACACAGTGGCTTTGGAATTTCTTCTTTCCTTCTTTTTCAAAATTTCCCAACTATATAGCACTACCAAAGCTTTGAGGCGAGCCGCACTGTTCACTAGAGTTTGTTTTATGTTGGGCTCGTCAGCATTTTGCGCACTTAAAGGCAGTCCGCGATCAGGTATCGAAGTTGAAAATGTGGTGTTAGGAGGTTAGAGTGGTCCGACAAACAATTTTTGTACCGGTTTCGCGCGAAAATTCCTAGGTAGGGGCGCTATAAGCGCAATATAGGTTTAGTGGTTCCTCCTTCTTTCCAGTGACTCCGCCTCCAGACTCCGCCTCCAGTGCCCGGCTTTCAGTGAAAAACGAGACTGCAGGTCCTCAGGTGAATCAACTGTGCGTAAGTGTGGGAGATAGAGTTAATTGGGGCAGCTTACACCTAACAAGGGAATTAAAAAAACTAGGGATCTACATCTAGTCAGTGTGGTCACGACTTTTCTTGAGCTCTTTTTCCTTCACACTGTTCGAGTTACTCGGCCTCGCTCAACTTTGTCGATCTATATGGGAGCCCCCTATTCTTGAGCGGTGGAGCGTTGATATAATCTGCGAGTTTTTAGCTGGCCTTTAATCCAAAGATATAATCCATGCTACTTGATGGATCGGTATTCAATCATGTTTTGTTTTTGATTTTTCCGTCATAACTCTACAAAAGAGATAGTTAACAGTCTACTTGGGCTGCGGGAGACGATGGGGACTATATCATATTCGGAAGTTTGAGCGCGAGGTGCAATCCGTCATGGGATCTTGTTGTTGGAGGCGAGCACCCCATTTTTGTTTGAGCGAGCAATGAAGGAGAACTGTTCTTTGCTGCTATAACTCACGTTACTTACCCATCTGAAGCGCGCGTACCCGCTTGCAACGACTGGAAAAAACGAAGAAAGGAAACGTGTATTGGCGCCGTGAGAACACCATCCCCAGTGCCTAGACAGTCTCCCTTCATCCGCACGAACTAGAGCGTCAGTCTATTCGCTCCTCAAAGAATCTACAGAAAAGACAGTTCTTTCGAGATGTTTCGAAGCGCAGTCGATATGTTGGTGGACGCCAATTGGTAGTGGGCGAGTTTGGTTAAACACAGCCACGCTAAAGATGAAGTACACTGTTAAAATTCCTACAACCGAAAGAGCAGGCCCAATATCTATCCAATTCTTTCACAATACTGGACAACGTCGCATCAACAAAGTATTACCCTGTTACGTTGGGCATGAAAGTAGTAAAGAGAAGAGCAAAAGTGCGAAAAGCCCACTACCCCTAATCATTTACTAGCGCGACATAACGCGCGAAACAAAATCTCGCCTTGTTACCCAGAGAGTACGAAGAGCGAGAGCAAAATCATTATCACACCTTTTTCATACGGGCTTGCTATCCGTTAGTCTCAGGCAAGCATATACCTGGACTAGCAACTTATACGGCAAGGTAAAGTTTCTGCATTGAACGTTCCTCTTATATTTCCCGGTCGCTCCTGGGTCAAATAAACCTTGCGGGTCGGGAAGACTTCATTTTGATTCACATTCTCTAATGGTGCATTAAATTGCAATGATGGCTCTAGATTCCGGAAAAAAACTGCTATAACATCTGACCGAGCACCTGCTGGCGGCACGCTTCTTCCATATGGTTCTGTTGATACGAGCGTGTCTAACTGTTTGATGCGCCGTCATGAGAAAGATGTGGGGTGGGGGGAAAGGGGGCCTCCGGATTCGCCTCTAGCACTCATTTCCTTACCCTTGAGACAGTTCCCAATACTTTGTAAAGTGGCCGGAGACCAATACAAGCCGCTCCCTTCGAGCACGAAACCTTTTTCAACCCAAAAGTCCTGTAAAAAACAATCTCCATTGCCTTTAGACCTTCTCCAATTTAGGTCTATTTATTGTAATTTATAAAAAAAAACTTAGTAGTCCTTGCGCGAAGGCGGAGTCGAGTCTATTCAAAAAAACCTTCGCGTAGGGCAAAAAAGTCTTTTATTCGCTGGCAAAAATACGGAGTGACTTGTCCTTATTGCAAATATTTCTGTGTATGAAAATACTTTTTATATTTATTTATTTATTCATTTACCAGGAATATATTGTTGTGTTTTTAGCTTGGCGGGCTAGGCAATTACATTTGGAAATTATTATTGGCTACTTGACTTTTAATTGGAGGAAAGACTTATGCTTGTATCTCCGACTGTATAATTACGTGTTTATTACAATTAGATTTATTACGAATTGATTTATTGGCCAGATTTCAGCGACCATGTCAAATGGCCTCAAATCCTCAGATCCGCTCACGCAATCCTGGCACAGCCAAGCGAATGGAGCACAGATATATAAGGGCAACGCAAGGACTATATTAAAGTATTGTATCCTCCAGGTCAGTTCATTCGTTACATATTCTTTTTTATCTGTTCTCTCACTCCTCGGTTTGCTAACCTTAGGTAGGGGTCCCTATGTCACTAATACTGTTCTTCCATTCAGGGTAGTCGGGGCGTCATTTGGCCAACCATCGTGAAAATCTCCTCGCTCTGAAAATTGAGACAGGCGCGCTGGTAAAGAAAGAGTTGTTTAGACTGATTTAAAGACACAGTTCCGCGTACAACAATTGGCAGGAATAGTACCTCGTAAGCCAAATCGGTAGCTTTTTAATCACCTGGATGCATCCTTGTACTAACGTAAGGAGGAGCAAGGTAAGGCGTGAAGAGGCGACCTAGGTAATCGTCTGAATTTCCTTGGTTCTAATTGTCGCGCGGAATTGTCTCCTTAGGGGCAGAGTCCGAGGCTGGGTGAGCGGTCATTCACCACCAGTTACGCCTTGTTTAGCAGTACGCTTCTACTCCCTGTTGTCTTGGAGGGATGGGCTTGCCTGTGGAAAAGAAGGTTTCATTCAAGTGGCTACTGCAATGCTATCAGCGCGGTGTGTGTCTCCGAAAAAAGAACTGCCCGTGCTCCATACATGGCCCTGAGCTCAAAAACTTTGAGCTCCTCGAAATGCTGATTTTTTTTACAGGCCGTCAAGCATCAAAGTCGAAACTAGCAGGCAAAAGAGCCAGTGGTGGTTTCGAGGCCGGATTCCAATCGTGTCCAAGATTATTACGTCGGTGGCGGACTTCTCACACCTACGGCGGCGAAGACCAAGAAGCGCCCACTATGATCCGAATACGATCACACTAACTGACAAACAGGTAAGCCTTACTGGTAAGGGCAACCTGTCCCAGACGAAAAGAATTTTTGGGATATTGTAGGAGCACCCCTCAATGGTACAGTAGGCTGTCCTGTCTGTTAATGCTTAATTATCAGACTAATTTGGAGATTTTTAATGATTGAGCGGTCTTCAAAGAGACAAAATCAATAAACGTACATAGAAATTGTGGACAAAAGAAATTGTAGACAGAAAAAGTTAGAAAAAAGTTAGTCCGAAAGAAAGCAGTTTGAAGTAGTGGAGTAATCAATAAAGTCAATCGATCGTTGCTGAATTTGCCCTGCCTTCCAGGACTTCCCCGAGCAGGACGTTAATGAAACGTACGAACGCCTCGAGAAACTTGGTGAGGGCAGCTACGCTACGGTGTACAAATGCAAATCAAAGTAAGTGAAATTATTTTCGTCCGCAAAGAAACGTGCACCAAAGATTTAATCGGGCACATTTGCCATCGAGTGAAGGGCGAGTACGGAAAGAGGGGGAGAGAAGTGCGTGAACAAACTATGAATTCGTGCACGTTTCTGGTGAAAACGCCAACAGGCGAGAGCAAGCCCGGAAATCGTGCACAGTTGTCACTGGGTGAAGTGAGCATAGACGCTATGGGAACCTCCAGCAAATCACAAATCCGTGCACTTCGAGTGAAACGGGCTGCGATGGGCAGGAACGTGTACAGGTCGAGAAATCGTGCCCTTCTGTTCTCGATTGACGCGAGTGTAAAAACGCAGAGAAATCCCTGAACCATGTATAGTCCCGCATTTCTCTGTGGAATTGGGCTGGCATCATGCCAAGCCAAGCTCCCTGACACGCCCCAGCGTCTCGTGAAAACGTCTTTAACTGTTTAGTTTTTTCTAGAATTCAGATTTTTCAGAATTGACGGTTCGATTGTGGCCTTGAAGGAAATCAAGTTGCAATTTCAAGAAGGTCTTCCCTTCACAGCCATCAGAGAGGGTAAGAACCTAATTATCGATTATTGGTCGTAGCTATTGATTGATCACTTCTTCTAGCGTCCTTGCTTCGTACGTTACGTCATGCCAATATTGTGTGCCTTCATGATATTTATCATCAACATAATCAGCTTACATTTGTCTTTGAATAGCGTAGCAGAAATTCTGGGGGCTCCGCCCTCTCTGCCAGTCATTCTGAGTTTTCCAGAAAATGGATCTCAAAGCAAAGTACCTCGAGCTCAATTACAACCAGGTGTTGACCTTTATGCAAAACAACACTTCTTCTGTTCCAATACTACTGAGCGACTAGTATTATTTTTGCCATAAGAAGAAGATCCTGCACAGGTGCGATTCTCTCGGTACTTCTCAGATCTCAGTATTTCGGAACACCGTCTCTATTTCAGGGACCTCCAAACCTTGCAAAACTAACTTTTTCTTGACGAGAATGGGGTCTTGAAGTTGGCCGATTTTGGTTTGGCACGGGCAAAATCCGTTCCAAGTAGGACATATTCCCACGAAGTGGTCACCTTGTGGTATCGACCGCCAGATGTACTGCTTGGTAGCACCGAATACTCAACGTCGTTGGATATGTGGTGAGTATCGATGGGGTTTATCCATGAGACTAGTGACTGTGTTCAAACTAAGACCCTGAATTTCAGGGGCGTTGGGTGTATTTTTGCGGAACTTTGCACGGGTCAAGCGATTTTCCCTGGCACCAAAGACGTGATGGACCAACTCGACAAAATATTCAGTGTTCGAGGTGTGCCAGATGAGACAACTTGGCCCCAGGTGAGCTAATTTGAAGCTATAGAACCGATTGGAGGCATAGAACCCTTGGTGATGTGGGCGGAGACATGCAATGGTTCTGTCTCCCTCACTCTCTTCTCCTCACGTCTTTCCTCTTCGTAGAAAGACGGAGTAGCAGTGTACCGGTGAGGGAGAGCTCATATTCCTGGCACATCAATGAGCTTGGTCCTTGCCTTGGACGGGCTGTATCTGGGTTTCGAATATCAAGTTCATTTTTATCTTGCACCCTTCCCCCTTTTCGCGGAGAGGATATTTGCAGGCTATTCTGAGCAAAATTTCTCTACTGAAGCTTAAAACTCTTAATTTTTCATGTCAGGTAAGGGATCTACCTCACTACAAGCAGAGTGCCTTTCCGTTATACAAGGAGATTCCGTTCAAGCAGGTGAATATTCTCTTCACAAAACTGGAAAAAACCGGAACGGATCTGCTCGGAATGTTCTTGCAGGTATGAATTTCCTCGTTACTATTGTGTTTTTCTTGATAAGTATTAATTAGCGCTCATTCTTTTCACTTCAGAAAAACTGGTAGTGTGACGGAAGAGACTAAACTAGGCGCTCCCTAGTTCGGGTGTGGGGGGGGGGCCAAGGCGCTGTGGCCTCAAAAGCCGCCATCAATCACCCACGCGGGCTTTCGAGCAAACGCTATTACTTGGCATGAAAGACTCAGCCATGGTCGACGCAGCGCTGTCCCATTGAGTGGAGTGGGCCGTGCTGCGATTGTGCGCACATTGTTCCGCTTAGAACGCCTTTTTCGCCATGCTCGCCGCGATTCGGAAGTAGCGCATGGAGCGCCTGACACTTTATGCCTCCTTCCTTCCCTTAAAAAGAGCGCAGGCAGGACTGCAGCTACACTGCGCGCTTAATTTCGCATGTGGACCGTAGAACGATCTTACCTTTAGTACGGCTTATCAAACTAGTTATGTTATAGCTTCAACCAGAGAGCAGCTGATTTCTTCGCGGATCGGTAAGATACCAGGAGCGTGGAATAGCCTAACCGCGCTGGTCTGCCGTTCGGTCAACAAGCGCATTGTTTTGGTCTCGACGACAAGGGATCGACCAAGTAGAAGCTTAATAAAGCGGCCGGTTCTCGATTCAGTGTGAGAGACAAATGACGCCACTTCGCAAGACTGGAAAGTAGTTTGGACCTGAGCGTCTAGCTACAAGATGGTCGATTTATCGCGGCACCCGCTGTTTCTCCGCCTCGTTTCGTGTTGAGGGGGGGGAGGAGGAAAGCTTGTACATTCTATTAACTTCACCACCATCCCGATGAGGACGAGTGAGTGCGTACTTTATTTGATACATGGCCTAGGAGCGTTTTCCCGCGGGATTCCTTCCTGAGACGATGCGCCGTTGATCTTGTAGTGGGCAGCAAATGGCACACTTTAATGTCTCCGGAAGCACTTACCAAAAAAATTTTTCGTCAACCTGCGGAACCATCAAATTCCGAAATAGTTCCAATTGTAAGGGGATTACATTTTGCGGTAATTCGTATGGGCCGGACCCATAAGACGCCCATTTTCATTATTGTGCTCTTAAATCCGTAAGAGGGTGGGCAGGTGACCAAGTAGGAAGGCGCAGTGGCAAGGTTGACCCCAGGGTACAGCATGGGGATGTGCGAAATGTCGGTGTGAGTACGACCCGCCGCCCCTTCCAATGGGGTCCAGGCAACGACCCCACCCCCGCTCCCACGGAGAACAAAAAGTGGCGACCCCTCCGCATCGGTTTGACACAAACATGCTGTCCAGTGGTTGACTCGCCACCCATACGGCCCAGTATTGAAGATGCCTCATTCCCATGTTTAGCGATCCCGCCCGCCCCCTTTAATCCTACGCGTGCATTTCTGAGTTTCTCCTGAAAATCCCTCAGATTTGTAGTTTTTTTTGAAACTCCATGGAGTATATTTTGTGGATATTCTTTAAGGACTGAAACAAGTAACAATTCTTGAATGAAAATAACCCTACTTTTGTTTCAGCTTCATCACTAGCTGATCGCATAAATCACCAGTTGTGCAACTGCTTTCATCCATACCTTCACGGGTCTACCAACGAAATATTCACAATCTTTTAACCCGGCCTACCGTTTCCATTTTCCCAGCTTCGCGCGAACTGCAGCAATGGATGCGGATGACACATTCAGTACAGTATAGATGACGATAGAACAATTTCACAGCGACTTTCGCCTCGAGCGACGCTATTGTGACAGTTGTCCGGGAAAGATCTGTTTTGGTTAAACTCTTCACTAAACATTTATCACGAACGACACACCAGTGTACATATGCTTGCGTTTTTCCCCAGTGCTCTTTCATTCGCCTAGGCAATCCTTTAATTAATGTACTGGTGATTCGATAGTTTAGTTTCTTTCTCTTCTCTAACACCTCTCATCGATATATCACAACATTTTATTTGAAAAAAATCATTATTTATAAGTTCTCTCTTCGAGGTGAATAATGTTTGTATTTTGTAATTATTTTTCTTGCTCTAGTCATCCTATCATGTTGTTATTCTATTAGGCCTTAAATTCCTTATCAGTAGGATTGTTTTCTGGCGTCTGACCTTCTAGGACAGAGAGCCGAAGATTCCTGCCAGGATGTCGATCGTATTTTTCTGTAATTTTTCTCCACCAATCGATAATACGGGTGTACCTTGCTTGTCAGCGTGTGCAAAAGTTTATATATGAGTACGATAGACGCATATTGAGATAAAAATTTCACCGTAATCTTCTACAAGAAGCATTAGACGAACACGGGTATGTGACAAGACAATCGTGCTAGGCCGCGCTAGACATGACGAGCGACGCCGCGCACGCGAGAGACGAGTTTTACTGCACGACGTTTGAATTCAAATGAACAGGGGCGGGGAAAAATAGGTATCACAGACCATGGAGTGAATTCACTCGGGCTTCGCTACTCCAACCAACCAACTGATGCGCATTGAGAATGCGCTGCGCACCGCTGCACGATGAGCCGCGTGGGGGAAATTGCGAATGTCTTGTCCGTTTCTCGGTGAACGCAACAGCATAATTATTCAAATTGAATGTCTGTATCTGTCTCTCAGAGCCGCGTTCATATTTTGCGACTAGAATGATTACCCGTGTTCCATTGCTAAACGTTTTACCGTTGCAACTGCGACAAGCGGGACCGAAGTGTCCCCTTTTGCAGCGGTCCAACAGTTAGCGGTGGTGCGCGGCCGACCGCTGTCTCGCCATTCCCAAATCGCGTGTCAATCTGAGCCGTGAACTATGAAAAAAGTAGAATAATGATAAATAATAAAATCCAGGACAATAAAAAGGTAGCTCAGTTAATTTCTCGAAGCAGGCCTCGCAGATAAAGAACTGGCCCCGCACGCAAATATTGTGCACGACATCAGACGGATTTGCCCCGCAGTAAAGTGCGATACGGCTTGTAGGGGAGCCCATTATCCGATAATTTACAAATTCTGTGATGGCTTTTTGTGGGTGTCAAAGCCCCAGAATGATTTTGTATGCTATTCGCCTTAGGTGAAGAGCTTCGAAAGCGCCCTATATAAGACCCTCATTTTATAAGACACTCATATAGCATATGAAATTCAACGGGTCTTAAAGACAGTTGGCACGATGATTTGGTGCTCGCCCTAAAATGCTAGTAGGGCGCTATATAGTGGGGGAAATGGCGAAAGAACGGTGAAACGGTCAAAATCTGCGAAAGAAAGAGCCTCCGTTCTCAATGTGTTAGAAATCAATTTTGGACGAGTTTCCTGTAGGCATCTTGCCAATAACCGCTACCGAAGGTACGGCTGCATATGTGTACTCATATATCCATGCAGCATCACGCTTCATACCAATCCCTTCGCTTCATAATTTGCTTAGCAAATGAATCGATTAGAGCGTCAGGAACGGTCGTCCATTTGTGGGCGGGCGGGCGTGGCGGGCGTTTGGGTCGGAATGTTGTGGCTTGATAGGGCCTTATAAGGGCACCTTCCTTGGAAAAGGCATTATGCAGCGCCTGCTCAGGGTCGCGGAATTCCGTCCTGCCAGGCGTATTAATCCTACTCGTCTTGGGGGATTTATCGTGCCAACTGCCTTTAAGGCGTTCCTATGTTGTCAGTACAGCACTAGCACTTCGCCATGACTATCGTTTACTACAATGACGCCAGGTCGTTTAGTGCAAGTCATTCGAGAAGTCAAAGCAGTGCTGGTAAAACAGCCGGATGTGATAAACTAAATTGTGTCCGTTATAAACGTTGGTCTGCTGTTCAACCCAGAAGGAATGGAATGTTTGACAGCAAAAAATACCTCCTGACTGTAAAGAGTGCATTCAGCAACTTTGGCTCTCGAAAGGGTCGATTAGTGCCCAGTCAAACAGTCCATGGGGAATGGCCCAACAGCTGGCACACATGGTGGTAGCAAAATTTATGTAAAGGGAAACAAATTGCGCATGAATCATATTGAGTAGCACAGAAAAACCGCTGGGATCGCTAGCCGATCCGTACGATCGTACCGTTTTTAGATGTATTGAAGCTCCACAGACATTCTGTCCGCAACTGAATTATGTTGTTGTTCTTCGCTGTGCTAGAGATTTGTATTGTGCTCAATGTATTTGTGTAATTATCAGTAATGAATTGATACACTAATCCACGTTATTTCTGCTCGTCGGCATCCTCTCACGAGCACAGAGTGGTATGTTCTACCATGGTTCGGTCAAGGTTAGAACATGCCACTTCACAGCGCATTTTCTGCACTGCTAGCGCGAAAAAGTTTAGACGTGTCAGAATTTGTCTTGCCTAAGTTTCCTGTGGTATATGATCCCTCTCTAGTCACATGGCTCCACAACTGTTCCTTTATAATTACTCTTCTTTGTAACAAATTTCTTTAGAAAGTCCACAATATGAGAAACCTGAACGCAAAAGCGAGATAATCTCGAACTCCGCGTATTTTCCGATCTCTTTATAGATTATCTCGGATTCAACGGAATTCCGTCTCATTTTCCCCTTCCTGAAGCAATAATGCACATGTTTCCATTGGCTCCAACCCTTTCTGTACCCCCTCATCCAGACCCCTCTTGAAGTCGACTGTTCAGCTCATAAAGTACGTAGTCACCAGTTTCCCATACATTCCTCTTCAAGTGGTTTTCGGGTAATGCTGAATTCTCAGGGAGAAAGATAGAACTTTATCATATTCATTTACTTGTTCGTTTATTTATTTATTGATTTGCACCCTGAATTGTGCCACAAAGCCGTAAAGAAAAACTCGGAAGAGCTAATCACTCTAAAAAGACATATTCACGAAAGAAAAAGAACAAAAAGAATTGAAGAGTGTGAGTCGAACCATTTCAAGAAATCCAAACAGCGGCTTTCCTCGTAGTAGTGCTAGAAGGTTGTTTTCTCCTCATCGGATAAGTCAGGGAAGCCTATCCGAGAGACCTTAGTCCTTGGCTGTAAACGCGGCTATGTGAAACGACCGTAATGAAGTTGCACAACTCAGTACGTAGGAGCTAATTTTTATGTGCTAGGTACCTGCATGCATTTTTATACCTGCTTCGATTTATTTAGGCCCAAAATGGGCCACCATGATGGAGCACCCCTCCTGTTGGGAAAAATGCAACATGCGACCTCCTCAAAAACTCCTTTTCTGCTACGACTCCCTCCCCATTTCCCATCCTACCTACCTCATTCTTTGATTTCCGGTACTCTCGGCTACACTTCTGAGTTTTTTGTTTCGAAAATCTCCGTTTCCTCCCGGAAAAAAAACCCGTTGAGCGTGTGTGCGTTGGTAGGGGGAGGCGAGAGGGAGAGGGGAAAGGTAAATAGCATACGTGTGAAACGAGAAATACCAGAGGGACTTTTTCCCCAATCCTTTTCTAGAAACTTTTTTCCCGAGAGTAAGTTTAATCCCCTCTCTCCCTCCAGAAGTGAAATACGACCCGCTTGCTACTGGAATCATTAACGTATGCCGAGCTCTGGCCACCATACTTACGTCCCACTGGCATTCCAGGGAGTTCTTTTCAGCCTGGTGTGGTCAAGATCTTAGGCCAAGCCGACAAAGAAAAGCTGTTGCTCGGGCTATCAGCTGCCATTAATCACCCAACATATCGATCAATGGCCGATCCACTATTTCTCATCATTTTCACAGCGTTCTTAGTGTTCTGAAAATTTTCGTTATTCCAGTTTTTGTCTTTTTCTACGGTGGTGCTCGTAATCACTTGTGAGTCATTGGGTAGTTAACGAAAGATTTTCATTACTCCTCACTACCACTACTACCAATTGGTCATAGTTTTTTTGGTCATAGTCAGGAATCCCCCATTTGTTCCGAGAACTATTCATACCTTTTTAGGTTTAATAGTGCAAGAGTCCTTTTTGAGTGCTATTTTGGCCCGTTTTTATTTTGAATGAAATCTCCGGTCAAAAAAGAAGGCTGGTACGCGTGTTCATCTGCCAAGGAGCTTCTCAATTCGCGCTGCCGCCGGAGCATGTCCTGCCACTGCGGAAGAGAATTGCAAAATAA